AGTGAGGGAAAGAAAAACAGTTTCACCTGCTGCTCTATTTACAGAAAGCAACCGATTAATATAATGACAGACTCGGGGGTGACGGGGTCAAGAGCGAGGTAAAAGACAAGACTGGCACTTGGACTGCTCAACCCAGGCGTGTTTTGTCAAGGCCTCTCATATTGTTTCTCTGTTCTTCCATCCAGCTCCCCCCAGTAAGACTATCTGGGTTGTCCCACTGCAGAAATATGCTTTGTGTTTTCATTTGGAGACAATTCAGTGCTAATAACATCATGCCTAGTGATGAATGAGCGCTCCTTTTCTCTTAGTTGATAACTCAACTTCATGTTCGTAAGAAGTCACTCTAGTCAATATGAGCGATGTCCACATTGTAGGCTCAAGTCTCCTTTGGCCAAGGAAGGATTTTCACATCATGGTTGATTGATCTAAGCCAGGGGCTCCTAAACTGTAACCCGTGGACCATTTGCAGCTCATGATATATGTATATGTGGCCTGAAAAGGGGCTTCTTAATGGTGGCTTTCCTTGACAGACCCAGTTGATCGGCAAGGCTGAAGCCATTGACTGCTCAGAGTCATAGATTCATAGATGTTAGGGTCGGAAGGGACCTCAATAGATCATTGAGTCTGAAGATCAATAGATCATCGATTGCCAAACCTTAGCAGCAGCCCTCGTGATCCCCTGTTAAGGATAAAGGGTGTCCTCTGAAATGATCTTGGAAAGCCTCTACCTCAAAGTGGATCATGACGTATCAAATGCACTGGGAGATGTCCCATTATGTGAGCTGGCTCAACATGTTTTATCAGCAAGAAGAGTCAGGTGCCCAAGTCCCACTCCAGCTTGAGTTTAATAATGATGCTCGTGTCTCCTTCTTGAAACTTGGTATACATAAGGCCTATCATGCTACATCCACTGAACAAAAGGAAGCTCACTGCAAAAACACTCCAATATGTGGCCCCCATGTCATGTCCCACCCATTACATGGATTCTGTGCATCTCAGTTTTGGACTGAGTTGCTGAAAGTGGCAGTCAGGGGCATGTATCAAGGGTGGATTTAGGTTGTCGCATCAAGCTGTGTAGTGATGGATGGGTACGATTCTCATCCCATCCAGATTGATATAAGTTTATTGATTTCACTGGAGTTACTACTGCTTTATACTGAAATGTGAACCCAGGCAATTATTTGGGAATTTGTATTACTAGTTGTTTGGCCGTTTTAACTCATTGTATAGGAAAGAAAGAAAAAGATACATGTAACACACTTCCAAACGTTCCTTCCGACCGAATTACTTGGCCTGACATTGGAAATGAATTATTTTCCATTATACCACTGACCCCTGTTGTGTGTTCTATTAACACCACATGTTAAACTTTTATATTTTTAGTAAGCCATGACCTTGTACATTCTCTGTCATTTCCCACTGGCATAAGTACAACACATGTGGTATGAAAGCTAACGGTTTTCATTTGTATACAGTACTTTTCTATCTCTGACTTGTATGAAAGCATGCAGGTCATGGTAATCAGAGCATTGGAGGATTTCACCAGTTACAAACAGTCACAACACAGTGTTTGTATGTTTTCTAAAAAACATATTTTTCGCATAACGCTCTCTTGTGTATTATACAAATCCAGATGCAAATGGGATCTTGAAAGGCTGCGTTTCATTTTTTTTGAATGAACTAATTCAAACAAGTGCCTCTGACACATCCCCATGCAGGAAGAACCCCACTAAATATCTGGCTTGTCCTAAATATCTGTAGAGCAAATGTGGTTTGGAGTATGCAGAATTCTTAATATAAAAGAGGATGTCGCATAGGTTCGATATTTTATTTTTATCAAATGTTAGTATTCTTGTAGCCTGCTGAAAGTGATGCATGATTCATGAATAAAGCTAACAGTTTGAAAGAAAGAATCATTCTTCTCAGTTGCCCCAAGTAATTTTTGTTTTAGCTTTTTCTTTCTTCTTTTTTTTTTTTTTTACATGGACTTTTGGGGCCTGTTTTTTTGCAGAAGTTCAAGTGTGTAATGAAAGACACATTCACAAATGCTATTACTTGTACACAAAAATGGGATTGCGAATATAAATGCCAACCTAAGTGGGTCATTTGGGTATATAATTTTAGCTCACTCGTCAGTGCGTATTACATGTCCCCATCTGATCCACAGAGTTTTACGCATCTGCTACTGTTTCCAGCTAAAAGTCACATTGCAGACAGTGCTCAGGAATATGCATGTGCTTACACTTAAACTCAAGTACTTTACTGGCCTGGGAGCTGATCATTTAAGTATAATGCAGGATTAAAGCCTTAATCATTTCACTCGAACAGTGGAGGTTTGTGCTTTTAGGGCTGGAAATCTAGGGTTCAAACCCATTTTTAGGCGGCAAGGAAGATGGTAAACCAGTGACCACTGTATGTCGATGCTTCTGAAAAACTATACAGACACAGGACATACTGGAGGAAACCTGCTGAATCATTGGGCACATCTACACGTGCGTTTTAATGCACATTAGCCTATTTTAATGCGCACTAAAACATCACTAAAAAAAGTGCTGTTTAGTTAATGCACATTAAGACAGGCTCATGCTCATTTCCTTAGTACCTCACAATGGAGGTAATAGATTTAATGCGCATTAACTAAAGCACATTAATGCACGTGTACACACAGCCACTGAGTCTAGTTCCTTGCTACTACAGGACTTCTGGGAATGTAGTTGAGCCTTAAAGAACATGACATTTATTATGCTTTTAGAACAAGCAAATTTGACACAACTGAGATATTTTGCTGCCATTTGGTGAGCTGCAGAAACCAGACATGTCTCCCTCCTCATTCTTCATGGGTAGGGCCAAGGAAAGCAGGAGTTTCCTTTTCTTTTTCTAGGAATAACCATTCTCCTTTTCCTCTTGGTCTTGCACAGACTGGGCCCCTTGAACATAGGGTTATCCCTTACTAGCCATTTTCCTGCATGGTCAGCTCTCTGCATGTTACAACTCTCTGGAGCGTAGGTTGTATGAGGACTGGATGTTGAGTGTTACCCGTTGTCTCACCCATCCCTCTGGGATGGACTCCAAGAGCAATTTTGGGGTGTTTTCACCCATCTCTATGGGTATGTTCTTTATGGAAACACAGAGTGGATGCAGACAACGCAGCTCCTGGGCTCTGGTTCTGTCCCACGCCCCAAGACACCGTCTCAGCGTTCGTCTTGGCTGGCAGCTTCCCATTGCAGCATGACATAATGCTGCTTGTGATGCAACACCCTGTCTGCCAGGACACACTTGCAATGTTTGGCTTAGGTTCAGCTAGGCTTGGATTTTTACTTATGACAAATAATTGTTGGCTCAACGAATTGGGAGGATTCTTTCTTCTCTCTCTCCCTTTTTTTTTTTTTGAATGTGCATGAGTCGTGGCTGTTCAGTAATGATCTGAGCATTTTTTGATGGAAGAGCAACACACACATGGGAGCAAAAGCTTAAAACAAACCCACATCTGCCTGTCATCCTAGGCAGGGAAAGCTTTTTGTGTTTTAGGATTTGGCCCTTCTGCCATTTGAGGCTACTGTAGCACAGACCTCAACAGCAAATGCAGAAAGGCTGGATTTGCAAGAACCTGAAGGGAAGCAGGTGAGATAGCTAGAGTGTGAGTGTGTGCACGTGTGTGCATGTACACAAACTGCCTACCTGGTGGGTACTCTTCCCAGTATATAAAACAGCTCTCATTGTCTTGCCCTGTGGTTAGTTGGCCTCACTAAAAGTGTTCTCTTTCACACTGAAGCAGTTCAGGGATTTTTCTATGCCTTGCTGATGGGTTTTTTTTTTCCTCATGGAAAGCTCAGTCTTTTTTGGCTCTGGTTTTGAAGCGTGGCTAAGCGCTATAGACATATCACTGTTGGCTGTCTTCACAGCGGTGATTTTGATTCATTGGGATCTACTAAGTTCTACCATTCGCATTGATTTATCCTGTGCCAT